AACAAGGACCTAGCAAGTCAATTAAGGCTTGCAAGGAAAAGACAAAGGCAGCCAAGTAATACAATGAGTAAATGCTTGCCCACGGAAGAAGGAGAGAAGAAATACTAGAGAGGAAGCACTGTAAATTGTTGAATAAAATTAATGAATGGTTCTAAAATGGCTGAGCTTCTGATCTGCTTTTTTCAATGAGTTGTTAATGAGGAAAGAAATTCTATAGAGAGAGTTAGGGAGTAATGAGGACCCTGTCAATACAGCTGCGGATAAAAAGTGGGTAAGGGACTACTTAGGAAAAAGAAACATTGCACAATCTGCAAATAGAGTGTGCCAAACACTGTGCCTCTCAGGTTCTTAAAGCACTACTAGCAATAATTTAGGAAGTGTTAGAGACTTGACTGACCTTCTCCGGGCTCTTACGCAGCACAAAGTGGCTTTAATGGGCCAGAGAATCTGGCCCAAGTCCTTTGCACCACTTAAATCCCACTTTAGATCTGATATAAGGGTTACAGAATCAGAGGTGGAAGGCGCAGAGTCATAGGACTGCCCATCATCTGCCCACTTGCTTGATATGAAACTCCTGCTCTCCCCCACAAGTGCCTGAAGCCATGACTCAGGCAAGTCCACTCCATCCACGTAGAGGGTGCAAAGGGCCTGACTCCCCAGGTGGCCACGTAGGACCAGGCATGATCTACTCCTAAATAAACAAACATGACTAATACATAAAGAGAGGACTAGAATAGCCATCCATTGCTTTTTATTATTATATGCAATGTATCGGGTGATTAATTTAATTATATATATATTAAATACATAGCTTGTTGTCATTTGATGGCCTTGAAAAAGAAACATACTTCTAGGAGGATCTGAATGTAGAGAGAGCAAGTTAACTGGGAGTGAAATTTACCTATGTGCAAAAGGCCAGTACAAGGCCTATGCACTAGTCAAGTCCCACATAAGTCCATACTCAAAATAGAATGTGAGTGGTGTACCGGCTCTGTGGGGGCTCTCTGGACAGGGTTAATTTCATTCCAAATGAAATCGCTCCCTCTGTCTTCAAATTCGCCATCGGTGCATCAGGAGAGGATGGGTGTTCTGTGAAGGGTGCACCATGACAGACATAGGCTTAGCATGAAAGAAGGTGTGAAATTGAGAATGGGAAGACATAAGGAGCACTTAGGAGTATAGGCATCAATAGAGAGAGTAGGATGAAATGAGAGCAGAAGTGGAAGGAGGGAGGGGGAGAATTATGTAGAGTAGAGACTTCCGTGAGATGATGCATGAAGTATTTGAATTGTATTCACACCTTTAACATATAATAAAGACAATTCCAATAAAATATAAAATGTTTCAGCAAAAATTGCATAATTGGGCACATGCACCACTTTTTATAGCTTATTTTATTGCATAGGCCACTCAAGACCAAGATGACAACTCCTGTGGTACTGCCAATCAACCAACTGATTGACTCAGTATTGCCAATTCCTTTCAAACATTCAAAACAATCATGAGGTTGGCTTATAAATCATAAGATTGAAAAATAACAAACGTAGGGGCCTATTTATTAGTCTTCTAGTTTTTGAGCCCTTAGGATACACTCAGATCACATTTTCCAGCGTTTCTCTTCAAAATGAATGCTGGATACTTGCTTTTTTATTTAAATGCTGAGATTCTCATATAATCCCATGACTCCAAAAGCTGGGACTTTATGAAAAAAACCCACCACATATCAGGAGACTGCTAATAAAATTGTGAGAGTTGGCAACACTCTTCCCCCCTTTAATTGATATATTCTATTAAGTTAAATATACTGCACTCGTCTTCATTTACTTCATTAAAAAACAAAAACCTAGTTGAGTTCAAAGAAATACTATACAAATAGAATGGGCCAGACTTATTCAAAGGTAAAATCTGGTTCTACATATCTAGATTGTAAGCACTTTGGGGTAGGCACCATCTTTTTGGTATGTGTTTGTGAAGCACTTAGCACAATGGTGTCCTAGATGTTACCACAATACAAATAACAATAAAGACTACAACCCAGATTCTCTAGTACGTGCAGCTTCTGCAGCAGAAGAAGCAGGAAGGGGAGCAGAGCTGCAGCTCCCTGAGTTCCTGTATTGTTCAATGGCAATACCTGTGTATTTTAGAGAAGCCTAGGAGCAGCCAGTAACAGCTCCCAAGAGGCCACCCAGAAGAGGAGAATGGCGAGAACACAATGCACTCTGACCACATCTTGTTCCTATTCCTCTCTGCACTGAGGATGACCCTTATGTTGGGATGTTAGAAGAGAGTGGCATTGGCTTCATGACACCTGAGGACTCCACCATGCCAGGTAAATTTTCCTATGTCCAGATCCACTGAGTTTCTGGCTCCTCTGCCCGACCAGAGTGACAACAAAAAGGCCAGAGAAGGGGGTAGAAAATCTAGCCCTAAATTTTCTTCTTTTTGTTGTTTGCCAACATAAAAGCAATTGAACAGCATTAGAAGAAGAGAGAATCTGGAACCTAAATAAATTAAAGCACAAGGATTAGAACTGTTAGATATAAAAATCTCATGTTTTAACAATCCTATTTCCTCAGAAGTCATAAAAACACATAATGAAAACTGAACATGCTAGAGATAAGTAACCAGCCATAAAGAGTGACTGCACAATAAGGAATACCACTGGTATCCTTCAGTGGCAAATTAAAAGGGAAGCTTTTCAAAGCACTAAATAGAATTCAGATTAATCAATCTCTTCTGTGGGGCAACCCAAGATGGTTATATACAGTTGGTATAGTATATTATAGAACATACTTCAGTGCAAAATATTTAGGCATATGTTTTACTCTGTCTCACTTCCACTTGTGTTTCCTGGTACTAACTACTAAAGCATGTTTGATTAGGCAATAGAAGGAATCTCTGCTCTTTCCAAAATTAACCACGAGCTTCTGGCAACAACACAGAGTACTTACTCTGGCTCTAACCACAGTTGCTAAACGGGCCTTGCAAAGAAAGATAGTTTGCCAGAGTATTAAAAAAACAAAATTGCCTTGGGTTTATGTAATATTTACTTGAAGAACTGCTAAAAAATATAATATATATAACAGACCATCTTAGAAAAGGGAAAAAAACCATGAAAACAAATTTTAAAAAGAGAAAATTTTTCAAATGTTCTGTCCTTTTGCATTTAACACTGTGACGTCTTTAGAAATCTTCCAAAACTGGGGCCTGATCCTGCAGTTCTTATTCACATGGCTACTCTCACTGAAATCAATGGTATTACTCATCTCGATAAGGGCTGTAGAATCAGGTCCTTTTTTAGTGGTAGGGAGATTCTTTAACTTTGTTCCCTATAATACCTTCCATGCAGTATTGCTAACCCCAAGCATTCAAAATGCATGTTAGCCCCCACTCCCAACCCCCTGAAAAATCATAAGACTGGCCGAAAAATCCCGAAATTTTAAAAAATAAGTGTGGGGCTCTTTTTATTTCACTTCTGATTTTTGAGCATCTGGGGTCAAGACTTCTAGCTCTTCTCTACAACCATGAGTGTTACAATTTTACTTTTTCTTTATACTGTAAATGAAAGTTGAAATTCTCATGACTTCAGGAGCTGGGGATGTAAGCAAAACACCAAATATTACAGGGCTCGTAATAATAGGTTGAGAGTTGGCAACACTGAAAGTGGTCCCTGTTTAAATTTCTTGCATAGTCAAGAAGAATGACCTAGGATTCCTCACTCCGCCCCACAGTTTAATAAAGGCACTATGGGTGAAATGCTGGTTCCCCTAAAGTCAGTGTCCAAAGTCCCATTGACCTTAGTAGGGCCAGAAATTCCACCTTATGCTGTTTTTTATAAATGGATACAAAATAGTTTCAGTCAGAACAGCATATCACACATCCTTTGCCTTTTTGGGCCACGTTTTCAAATTTGTTCTCCAGTATGCAAACTCCATGTTTTAATGTCCAAATCAAGTAATTAGATGCACAATTGCTCATTTGTGTGTGCAAATGAGAGTTTTCCACATACATACTTTGAAATGCAATTGTGGAGGCCAGCCTGAAACTTTGGCTTAGCTGGCATGGTGACAAGCCCTACAGAAGTTAAGAAAATGTTAATAATTTACAACTTCAGGCACTTTACAAACATTAATTAATCCTCAAGTGACCGTTATGAGGTAGGCATAGATGAGGAAACTAAAACAAGGAAGTTTCATGATTTTCCTAAGGCCACAAAAGGAGTCAGAGCTGGGACTTACAACTCAGAAGTTCCTGGTTCCTCAACAATAGAGAATATTCCTTTCTTAATTGCAAAATTATTTTATTTCAATTTTGCACTGACATGATCTAGAGTTTAGAGCAGTGTTTCCTTCTCCCCATCTTCTTGGGACACTGAGTTGACACCTAGCCTGTCATTCTCTTTCTACCTTTATTTTCCCCAGTTTTCATCAAAAGCTGTATTAAAAGCAATACGGCCAGCATCTCCAGCCTCCCCAAAAAACATGTGTCACCTGCCAGCCTGGAGAATGGAAGCCCCAAGGTTACTCCTGAGTGTAAGTATGAGTCATGCCTGTGCAATCAGTATAGCTGTTGCACAGTATGTTTAACAGCCTGTCCTTTATATACAACATTCTATTCATTCTCCACTTCCCAAATTACCGTTGTTGAATCCTATTAATTTGTAGAAAAACACATTTAAACCCAAACCTGTTAGGAACCTCTAATTTTCCTTTCCAAAATGCAGAACAGCCAAGAGACAAAGAATGAAAAAGGAAATCTCTACAAAATACACATCTGGAACCAATCTGCTGGATGTAGCCACTGGGTGTCACTTTTGATATATACTGGGTCAGCAGTGGAGCACTTCATTGCAGGAGAAATTTATTTCAAGGGGATGCTAACCAAAACAGACTGCAGTGAAATATATTTTGCATAGCCTGTAATGATCAATTAGCCAGCGATGCTGACTTTTTAATAAAACATCTTTATACATATATTAAATATTGCAAATAAGATCTTACCTTTCAATCTGCAGTGTGACTTTTGAAGGCTCAACATTAGGGTTTTCCCATTCCATCTGTGGACAATGCATAAAATAACAGAGAGTGTACAAAGCCTCAGGTTCCCAGTATAGTGATCCCTGCTTGTGGTGCATTGGAGTGCCGTTGCCATGTTGCTTTGAGTTGAGTGGCTGGAGGTGATGCATTGCTCGAGATACCAGATCACCTGAGAAGGAAAAATTTGATGACTACTAAAACTGTAATTTTTATTTCTCCTCATCTAACCCATTTTAACTTCTCCCCAGGTAGTTTTCAAACAAAAGGATATGGCAAACTCTTTTTGCTTTCCAGTTAAAATATCATGCATGAACAGAAAGTGACAGAACAGGTTTATGTTCATTATTCATTTTCAACATCAAGTTAGTTTGGCTGTTACAGCAGTTCATCTGCTGTAGAAGTTTATATGCTGTGGTGATGTATATGGGTTGCAGACAACCCCACAAGGGCTTAGTGGAGAATTCTTCTGGGGAAGGCACTTCAGTTACCATAAGCAACCCTATACTGACCCCTTCACAAGTCCTGGTGCAGAGGGCATGGTCATAGCAGTCAAAGGCAGTCCTGAAAACCTGCCATAATCCCAGGGCTGTGTAAATTATGGTGGAGGCTATTTAGGTCCCCAGAGCAGTGCAAAATCCCAACAGCACAAATCTACCTTTGTCCCCTCTCCAAGGGCTGTGCCTTCATGAGCTACACACACACAAAGTAACACTGAAAATCCAGCCATTGCTGAGCATAAGATGGCAACCAAAAGGGACAGAGAACAGCATGAGTGCGTGTTGAGGGAAATTTTGGACACAGACATTGTGGCAAAGCCCTGCTTTTATACAACATGCCATATCATCTTTAAAAGAGGTAAAGGGCTTTACACCACCGCTGGAAAAGCAAACAAAACCAGAAAAACACCCTTCCAGATCTCCCCACAATTCTAGAATCACACATTTTAAAACCGACATTTGGCCATTTCATTCTGTGTAAATAACTCTCCCTGACCATAAGTGTGGACTTCATTGCTGTATGATACGTAGAGCATCAAAAAAGTTTTTAAATATTCACTCTCTTACTGGAAATATGGAACCCCATTCTGTGTATATTAAAAGTTCAGGGACAGGTGTCCCTCATCAATTTGAATGCTGTCATTTCTAGCTTTAAACTGTTACTAAAAATGATCATATTACACACAGAGCTTATGTCACACCCTAATAGGAAAACACAGATTCAGAATCAGATGGCTTAGTTTGGTATTGTGCAAAGGAACCAGATGCATTCCAACGTGTTGCTTTTGGCAAACAATACATTCCAGTGCACAGTATTTGTTTTTCTTTTTACTGAACACATACTGTCAAATTCCACCCTCAGTTCCAGAGGCGTAACTCCCATTAACGTTAGTGGGAATTGTGTCTGTGTAACAGGGCAGAGTAGGGCCCCATGGCTCTGACAGGAAATGGTTAAAATCCTATCAGAAATGTTTAACACAAATATAACATATCCACCTGGACTAGGCCTTAAAAGATTTTAGCAAAAGAGAATACTGTGCTGTAGAATCACTCAAGCAATTTAGGTATCTAGAGAACAGAATATAGCCCATTAGAAGGCTTTCATTGTTTCTCTATGACTGTGTGGGTCTCTATTTTCCATAACTTGTCAGAAGAAACTTTAATTGTGATATGCAGAAAGTGATCTGATTTGCTTGCTTCATTGATAAGCAGACAGACAAGCAGGCTCACAGGCAACCTAGAAATGAAGTATCTCTCCAAACATTGTACGGATATTAATTAAGTCTCACAACTCCTCTATGAGGTAGGTAAATTTTATTGCATTTTTTTGGGTAGTGACCACTGACTTGAAGGCAAAAAACCAACTTTGGCCGTAACTCTGTTTTCACATGCTCAGATCATTCTGGAAAGTCTTCTTTTCGAATGAAATATTTTCAAAATTGGTCTCTGTTCAAAAGGGCTTTTTTTTTTTTTTTAAATAAAAGTCTGAGCAAAATTCCTTCAGTTGTTTTTGAGTTTGACAGCAGAGAGAAAAAAATGGTTTAAAAATTATTGCCACACTTTGTCCCCTATGCAGGGGACTCAAATAACTGCTGAACATTGAAACTTGGAAAGAAATACTCACTGAGGTGTGAGTATATGATCAAGTTTTGGGGGTGGGAAGGTTGGATAAAAAATTTACAAGCAAATTAGAAAGATCCCTTTTGAACATGTTCAGTGGGGATCGATTAAGATTTTTTGCCCACTGAAGTTCCACCCTTTTTATGACATTAGAATGCACCACCTCTGAACAGCCTAGACTGGTACAGAGACTGCTGCTGCGGCTGAGATAATTTGCACAAGCGAGGATATAAATGTTTCACTGAAAAATGCACCGCACAATCCTCCAAAAAACACAGCCTTAAAACAAGGAACAGAAGAAAACTACTGGCACAAAAAAATTGCAGAGTCCATGATTTTAGGGTTTTGACAATTTTTGCTGCACTCTGCAATATTCTTCTGATTAAAGCTTTCATTTAAAAAATAGTTTCTGTCTTTTCCCACTGCTACAACATTGTCATGATAGGGACTAACCTGGAGCTCTTACATGCTCATAATTCCCCTGGAAGTCAGGAGATAGTGTGTGTGCGAAAGGGGTGCAGGATCAGGTCCACAATGGAAAGAGATGTGCTTCTGAATAGATTATCCAGTCTTACATAAAATTTATCTACAAGCAAATAGCAACAGCAGTATATTCTGGAACTCACCCTGCTCTCATCCCCTTCACCTACAGGAGATGTAAGTTTCAAAGTCTGAGGCCAATTTAAATGGCACCAATATTATCAGGCGTCAATTTATTTTTCCTCCTCTTTTAAAAAAAAAAGACATTAAATGCAAAAAAAAAAAAAAATCCTGTTGAAGGCAATGTTCAGGTTTAAGAATTAAAATCAGAACAAGATCAGAAAAAGAACTGCGCTTAAGCCAAATTCTGTCTTCATTTAGGTCCCAAACCAGCAAATCACTTAAGTATGTGCTTAATTTAAGGACTTGATTAGTCCTGTTAAAGTGGATCAGGGCCTTATATATCATGCAACTCCACTGACTTCAATTGGGTTGAATGATAAATAAAGCAGGACAGAATTTAACAGAAGGTAGCATACAGCAATATTAATTCATCTGTGTTGCACATCCTGCACTTTAAAGGCTATATATTTTATGACATATTCAGCACCAGATACCGAATGAGGAAAAGAACAAATTAGAAGATACAACATTACAACACAGCCAGTTAACGCTGCTGAAGTAACTTTAGGTGAAAACCTGTCTCCATTGAAGTCAATGGCAAAACTCCTACTGATTTCAATAGGGCCAGGATTTCAGCCTTTGGCTTTGGCATTTCCTAACTTCCACTTTATGAAATATATAAAATCACAACCTTAATGCTGAATTAATGTAGTTTGGTGTGTTTCATTATGATTCAGTTATATTATACCAAGTACATATTGGACTAGAATTTGTTCTTCCCTTTCCTACCTGGTAAATATTTGGGCATCTTAATAATAATTAAAATATTGATTCATCTATTGTGAAACTTAATTGATCATTGCTTGTAAAGAACTGAGATCTTCAGGTGGAAGGCAATATGTAAATGCAAAATATTTTAATGAGATGCAGTGTTGCCCAAAGGATAGAGTACTGGCCCAAGAGTCTGGAGCCCTGGGTTCTGTTCCTGGCTCTGCCACTGCCCTGTTGTATGACCTGGGGCAAGTCACTTCACTTCCCTGTGCCCCTGCTTCCCTGCCCAACCATATCTACTTAGGTTGTAAATTCTCCAGGACAGAAACTGTTGCTTACTATGTGTATGTCTAGAGCCCAGAGGCGATGACTTTCTACTTTCTCTGGGGGTGCTTGACCCTGCTCCGCCCTGGGCCCTGCCCCCACCCCACCTCCGCCCTGCCTATTCTCATCCCTTCCCCCGAGCACCCCGCCCTCGCTCTGCTCCCTCCTCCCCAGCACCGCCTGGATGCCGCTGAACAGCTGATCGCAGCAGGCAGGAGGCGCTGGCAGGAAGGGCAGGGTGCAGATTGGTGGGGCCACTGGCGGGTGGGAGGCGCTGAGCATCTATATGCTATCATAATACAAAAAATGAATACTACTACTAATAAATTAATAATGCTTTATTATAAAAGCAATATATCGAAAGTAATAATTTGTCAGAATTGTATATACCCCTTAGAGTACCACTTTGGGTGCTAAGTTTTCTACTTTTATGTTTTCTTCCAGCAATACATAAAAATAGAGTTTAGTGATTTCAGGCCCTGATCCTGGCCACTTGCTCTGCATGAACAGGCCCACTAGCCTTCCCCCGAAGTCCCTGGCAGTCCATGCAGGCACATATGTCTGCCCATACAAAGCCAGTTGCAGGATGGAACCTGTCATCCTGTTCCCAATGGACAAGCTTGCATGTCACTATCACAACAGGCTTACTTGGCCTGAGTCTCAGCAGAGCTGTCCAGGATTCAATGAGCCACAGAGCGAGAAACATTCTCCACACCCCAAAGTGCTCCTTTTAGGGGCTGGTCTACAGTACAAATTGTATTGTGGTTGAACGCGGGTATGCAGAACTGGGTTAACTAACATGATGGCTACCCTGACTTTGCAGTCAGGTGTAGACCAGCATGAATCATATGCACCACTGTGTCAGCGATCTCCCTTCTTCACAACCGCATTCAGCAACGGTAACGATTTGGAATGGAGTGTCGCTCTATCACAATGGCACCAGCTCTTGCAATTTTATCCTTCTCGTGATAACTGGTGTTTCACAGAGAGCTCCAGCTCTTGCAGACAACGATTATGTAAGTATCTCAGATTTCATTTAACAAAAAAGTAAGTTTCCACTCCTCATACTTTCAGAGAAAAGCTGGAAAACGTGACTCAAGTGCTTCCAAGAAATCTCAATTTTTAAGCCAATCTCATGATTTTTGAACTTTTGGCACTGGCAGTGCCAGCTGTGCCAGGGAAAAGTATACTGCAGTGTGATGGAGTCTGTATCAGTGCTCTGCCCTTTCTGGGTACGTCTACCCTGCAGCTGGCAACATGCCTCCCAGCCCGGGTAGATGGATTCATGCTAGATGGCCTTGAGCTAGTGCACTAAAAATAGCAGTGTAGATGTCACGGCTCCAGTGTAGACTCA